ATAGTCTTTGGATCTTGCTTTGATATTAAAAAATTTTAATTAAAAAGTATGAAAATAGGGGTAAATGAGTGATTCTCATCAATAAAAATAAATGCATTAGAAAATATAATTCTTAAAAGTAATCCATTTTAATAATTTTCATCATTTTACTGATATTTTTTGTTTTATTTAGAATGCTTATAGTTAATGTTCAAAATCTGAGTTTAATATTCTATTTGAAGATGCAATAACAATTTTAACTCTTTCAATGACTTAATTGCTATTAATATTACCATATTTTTTCTATTTTTTCATTATAGATCTCTTAAAATAATTTAAATAATCTGAAATTTTATAAATACTGAGTATTTAAATTATATCTCTATCAATAATAACTAATATATTGATATTTATAATTAGTGTTTCATCACTATTCCCTTATTAATCTTCAATCGATAATTAGATTATTTTTGGAATTGGTTGTACTCATATTGAATTGTTTTCAATAATTAAAGCATCTAGCATTATTTTAAACTTCATTAATTTCTTATAATCATAATTATTAAAAGATTATATTAGTTTGAATTAAGAAAATTATGAATGGTATGGATTCCGATCTCTCAATTATTTAAAAATACAATATGATATATATGCTAATTATGCTATAAAATTATTAATTACTTATAAAATGACACATTTCAACTTAAGCTAATACTTTTTAGTTATTTTTATCTTGTTGAATTTGGAGATTTCAACCATCCTATTTGAATTAATGAGTAAAAGTTCATTTAAACTTACAATATAACTATAAATAAATTTCATTCTTACAATTTTTGTTGGCTTTTTAAATTTTATTCTTAAAAATAATTCAACAATTATTTATATTCAAGTTTTGAGAGAAATAATACAAGAATAGAAAGGATGATTTTGTGAGATACGAAGGATTATGATTATATATAAATATCGTTCAATCATCTATTTCAATTCCACTAATCAATGATTGATTTCTAGGTACTTTATGTGATGAAGTCATAATAACTAAAAAGCCAATCAAAAAGCAAATATTTACCAAGCCAAAATTCTTTATTTAAAAATGCTTATATTTAAATTATGATCTAAAATTCTGAAAAATATCTTGAAATTTTTGACAGAAAAATCTTGAAATTGATAGTATAATTATTGAATGCTCATTCATTAAGACAACACATATGAAATTATTTTAATGCTTCTTGATCAATCTTAATTATACTCAATACAAAGTATCTCTAAACTAGAAAAAATTAATTTATTTTCTAAACGAACATGAATCTAATATATAAATCAACTAATTTAAAGATTTATAAAGGGAAAATAGTGATATGTAATTATTATCTTTAGGAATAATAAATGTAAGCAAAAGAACTAAATATATTTTTTTAAATAAGGAAAATAATATGTATGACATTCTAAAGAAAACTAATACCATATATTTTTCGGATAGCCTTTCGGCTGTCTCAGATAAGCAGAGGTATGGATCCTAGCCCCTATGCAGGGACTGATATTACAATCACCAATTTAGGAAGGGACGAAGATGCTGACCTATCTTTTCCATAGATCCAAATGCTTCAGCCATGGTAGACTTTCATTCATATTGAATTTCTATATATTTTTAATTCTTCTTCCTACTCTTTGATCATTCTTTTTATTTAATCTTTATAATTTTAAGTATCTAAGTCATCTTTATTATCCATCTTCTAGCTCCTTTCCCTCTGTACCTTTACAACAGAATCCCCTTTCTCTCCATACTTTCCTTCAATTCCATCATTAAAAAATTCCTCCCAGAAAACTTCTGGTATCTGTCTCCCGTTGTAATTCCACTTCTGGTCTCTGTCTCCCACTTATTATTCAACAATCAGCAGAATGCTTCTTGGAGAGCCCATTATTGTCTGTTTGTATATTTTAATTTAAATATCCTTTGGTTTTCTGGTGAATTCTGTAAAGTGCATTCAATTGTTCTAAATTTATATTGGGATTCAAAATTTTCTTCTTCATTTTTTTTTCCTTAAGACATTATTTGAAGTTTTCTTTGCCATCAAAATCTTCTCTCTATTTATATATCCACATTATCACATGCTCTATCCATGAGCCGCCTTGAAAAGGCAAGATAACCGGTTCTGACCAGGTTTATCATCCCTTATTCTATCTCCGAAGCCACGCTTACATATACCATTCCTATCTAAACAGTTTTCACGTATACTAGGTTGGTTATGGCTATTCTCTAGTTAGGTTTAATATTTAGGTAGTATATTTCTTTTTGCGTTTTCTTACAGATTCTGATTAGGTATCCTCTCTTAAGTCATTTTATTTTCAACTTAAGTACCTTTCCAATCCTATTCAGTGTTATGTGGGTATTCACTCAATGCCAGAAGAGTGGTAGAAGTGTAATATTATGTTAATTTCATGGGTGTTTGGTAGAGGATTTTCTTGATAAATGCTCTCTCAGCTGGCCGCCCATAAAATAAAAGTTAATTTAATTTTTTTATTTAGTTTTTTTTTCTTTATAATCCAATTTTTTATTTTTAGAAAAAACAAAAATAAAAAAATTTATTCAAAAATTGATTGTTTTTTTTTTTAAATAACCTAAAATTGACTATTAAGTTTTTTTGGGAAATTATTAATATTTATTCTAGTTCTTAAGATAATTAATAATAAGTATTTCCTTTGTATGTATATAATTATTTAATAAAAGATTAAGGTTATAAAATGAACAGAGAGAAGATGGAGTAGACTATTTTGAAA